TTTTCTCTGTCTTATACTTATTAATCGTATGGTTAGGACCAAAGTATATGCAGAAGAGACAGCCATTTTCCTGCAGAGGCATTCTAGTCATCTATAATATTGGACTTACGTTGCTGTCCCTCTATATGTTCTATGAGGTAAGAAAGGAGAGAGCAGCATATTTTGTTTCAGTCTGTTCTCTCTTTACCTGTGCAATATTTGTTGTGACTTTTTTTCTGTAAGTGCATTGATAGAAATTGATAGAATTTTTATCCTCATAAAATGAATACTCCAGTGTATTTTCCCCTGTCCAATAAAGCCATTTCCTCCAGTGTATCTAAGGGGGGTTGCAGACTGCCAGAAATAGTGCAAACTGAGTCCACTTTTAGGGTTAGGGTTAGTGCAAGGGAATCATGAGAATTGTTTTTTTTCTGAGACATTGAGCCTTCTCTGTCAGAGAGCTCTGGTGCCACAATAAAAGACAGTTCCCATGATTCCCTAACCCTAACCCTAAAAGTGGAGTCAATTTGCACTATTTCTGGCAGTCTGCAACCCCCCTAACTTACCAGCTTCATATTGCATCTGGTACAGATGACCTGATCCTTGCCTAGATAGCAGGAAACTGTGTGAATCTCGTCCACCACGAATGGAGAAAGACATCATCATACTGAAGGTCTGCCATATGCAGCAGCGAGAATGTCATTATTGCTTTATTGCCTGTGCCCTACCCTGACAGCTTTGGATATAGGACATAATAAAAATAAATGGAGCTTACATGAGGTCTGCATAATGCCCTGTTCACAGATGTCTGTTCATCATCTGATAACTACAACATCTGACGATACCTTGTATGTCTGAAAGATATATCTTGAACCAGACATCAGCATCAGATTTTCTGCACCCTAAACACAAAAACTTTCTGGGGGGAGTTCAAACAGGTACCTGTAAGTTTTTAAACTGCAAATCAAATGATGCACATGTATGTGTGAACTAATCCTTTTTGGGAGAGAGAGAGAGAAATTTAATTGGTGAAAAGCAATCCCATGCTGGGAGAAAGACAGGATATTAAATTTAAAAATTAATTTAAATTAATCAATGTAAATTAATTCGAGGAAATGAAAGAGAGGGAGGGAGGGAATCAACATGGAGATGTTGCTTGAAAATATGCAGTTTTTAAAGTGCCTCCTCCTTAGGGTGAAAGTGGATATATCAAACCATTGTTTAAAATGTTTTATCCCGTACTTATGTCATAATAGATAACAGGAGTGGGAATTACGCAAGCTGCCTGATGTAGTTGGACTGCAGTTTCCCAACATCTCTCGTTGCTTGCTTTGCTGGCCAGGGGCTGCTCAGTTTTCAGTTCAACATCTGGAGGGCTGCACAATTCTGTCTCTGCCATAGAGTAACTGAAATCAAAAGGCTACCCTGAGCAAGTGCTCAAAATACTCTCCATTAATTGTAAAATGATACACACACTACTCTTCCCTTCTTCTCCAATCGCTTTTTCCAGTCCAGGCATGGAGCACAATCAGATTTGTTAATGAACAAGTAATGTTGGCATTTAGAATCCATTGTTGTTTTTGGATTAAATGCATGTAGACTCTATCAAAAGGCTGCAGCCATTAAAATGCTCCCATTAAAAGGAGACAGCTGCCACGTGGATGAAAAATATCCACAGGGTCTGATTTAGCAAGCATAGATCCACTTCCTGCTATGGGTAAACTATAAACCCTTCACACACCCACTCATTTTTTAATAGACGGAAATTCATTTCTGATACAGTTTCATTTCCAGTATAAGAACTGGTCCATGACGTCTGGAGGAACAAAGGCTCTCTTTCCTTGAACTAGGTCACAGTTAAGATTGACACTTTAGAAGTCATAACTGGTACATACTATAAAATAAAAGCTTGTGTTCTAAGGGAGATGTTGATGTCTTGCTATTAATTTGTTACTTGCTAAAAGAAGTGCAAAGTGAGTTTGATTCTTCGTCTGTTGTCTTCCCCACCCCCCCACCCCCGATTATGCTATTATTGGGCTTTCCAGCGTTTTTCTGTAGTGCAGTTGTAGGCATGTCTCCTTATGCATTTAGTTAAGTGTGCGGTGGTCCTATTTGTCTATCATTTCAGACTTAAAATTCACATTCTCTGCCAAACAGCACTTGAGGCACATAATCTGGCCAAATATATGAAGACTTTGTAGTACAGAAACCATGGGACAGACAGGAACATTTTCCTTTACCACAAGAAGAGACTCCATTGTTGTATTTAATGAACCAGTTGGGTCTGGTGGAGAGGGGGGTTTGAGAGAAGGCAAATCTTTGACCCTCCAGATCTTTTGACCTACAGTTTCCATGATTCCCAACCAGGGTGGTCCAATGTAAGGGATGATCGGAGTTGGTCTATGATATCTGGAGGAACAAACGTTCTCTTCCCCTGAACTAGACCATTATTAAACTTGACATTTTACCCATCGTGGCTGGTAAATCGAGAGCCAGCATGGTGTAGTGGTTTGAATGTTGGACTATGACTCTGGAGACCAGGGGTTGAAACTCCACTCAGCCATGAAACCCACTGGCAAGTCATACTCTCTCATCCTCAGAGGAAAGCAAAGGGGATCCTGCTCTGAACAAATCTTGCCTTAGGGTTGCCTAATTACATGAAATTACATGAAAGCACATAACAGCAACAACAAACGGGTAAATGCTTTTATATTAAAGGGCAGTGCTATAGGGGAAATGGTGATGTCTCACCATGATATTTAACTTGTTATCTCTTTAAAAAATAAAAATAAAAAAACACTGAGCCTGTTCATAGCACAGAGCTTAAGAAATGGAAGTAGCAAATCACTTAAAAAACAACAACAACCTTTCCTGGCTGATTGCTGTTGTGTTTTGATGTTTAATCATACAATCTTTCCTAATGTAAATAAAACCATTATTGTGGACTGCTTGCCTCTCTGTTTTAGGTATAGTATTCAAGGATTCCTAAAATTATGTTGCATGCCGACTGAAAATGTCATCTCCTCCATACTGTTGCAGACTCCCAGAATTGCTGCTGTACTGTTGCAGACAACCATAACTAACAGGAGTGGGAACCAGCATTAAACTCTCTTCCTGGTGGCATATGATGATGGCTGAATCACTTATTTGTACTGTCAAGATCAAAGTACATGCAGAAAAGCCATTCTGTTGATAGAGTGGGCTTTTCAGTTGTACCATGTTAGTTCGCCCTTATGTTGTGATGGTGTTTTCAGGTACCAGGAAAAGGGATTACTGGGGAAATGTGTTTTGAGATATCAGGGGAAAAGATGTGCTTCTGGTGAGCATGTGAATGCCCAAAGTGTGGGGGAAAGTTTGCTTGTTTGTTTTTTAGCCAGAACTCACAACCAGCATGGTCGGCTCTTGATCGATGGTCTGAAGGCCCATGATGTTGGAAAGTGATTTTGCCTTTGGCTGCTGTGATGTAAGGTGCTCTTAGTTCATTTCAGAAGAGGTTAAACTGCTTTATGGACAAAATGGCTTAGAACAGGCACTGAGGTGGAACCCATCTGGTGTACCTCCACCGACACTAGTCTTCCATCAGCCGAATGGAGAGTGGCAGAGCATGAGGTGATTCCCCTTCCTCTTTGTCTCCCAGTCTGGTGGGTTGGTGGGTGCAAGGAGGAGGAGGACATTGCTGAGAACTGTACCTCTGAAGCCTTCCACTGACAGAGAGAAACTAGAGCCACGTCTGCATTGAGGGAAAAAAAACGTTCCCACCCCACTCCTGCACTGACCTGTTTGGATGATGCATGGAGCCAAAACAGGTGAAACATGGATCTAATCCACACTCCAGAGTGATTGTCTGGAGTAAAAAGAATCCCCAGTTTCTCTGAATCAGGATGGAAACTCAAGAATCTTCTGAATGTGCGGACTGTATGCCAGTGCAGGATTGTGGTGGGGGCATTGGCAGGCAGGCGGAAAATTCATGGCAAGAGTTCAGTTCAGGGCAAGGTGAGCCACTGACCTCTTTCCACCCGGAAAGTCCAACTCCCACCAGAGTACTTTCACTTTCAAGTTCATGGTGTTCCTTCAGCACCATTCCTCTTAATGCTTTACATTACCTGAGAAATGGTCTAATAATTGAATAGATATGAGAGGAGCAGTTCCTTTGTTCTGAGATGATTAGCCTGTGTTTACTTTTCCACTTGTCCATATTTGCTGAGTCAAAGTAGGTGTTCAGGTGAGATAACACCATTTGTGGTATGTATTCCTGATCAAATATTTTGGTACTAGTGTAGATGTTTTCATTGTAGTGAATTACTTCTCCCTTCAGGAATGTTTTCTTTCCTCTGATGTTTAGTTTACCTTTAATGACAACGAAATGCCTGAAATTGATATATTTCTTTCATTTAAAGCCCATTTTGCTTTATATAAAATTGTACAATTTGGTGGAAGGTATATTACTGTTTAGAGTTACCAATAAGCTGATGTCTGCTCTCCCTTTATGGCAGATAGAGAGGGATTTGTAGTAGTACCTTGCTTTTCTTGTTGTGCACCTTCAAGCTGATTCCAGGTTATGATAACCTCCTATCCTGGGATTTGCTTGGCAAAATTTATTCAGAGGAGGGTTTCCTATTGCCTTGTTTCCCATTGCCTTGCTCTTAGCAATAGCAATAGCATTTGCATGTCTTTACTGCTTAATAATGAACTCAGCACTCTCTAAGTGGTTTACAATCTGTACGTCAGTTGCTCCCAACAAGTTGGTTACTCATTTTACTGACCTATGAAAGGATAGAAGACTGAGTCAACCTTGGAGCCCTGGGATCGAGCTCACAACCTTGTGCCTGCAGTACTGCAAAGCAAAGCAAAGCAGCTTCATTTATATACCGCTTCATACCGTGCTATGGGGTGTCTAAGCGGTTTACAACTGTAAGCTCATTGCCCCCCAACAGTTGGGCATTGGCATTTAACCACTGTGCCACCAGGGCTCCCTTAGACTGAGAGAAAGTGACTTGCCCAAGGTCGCCAGTGGCTTTCCATGGCTGAGCAGGGATTCAAACACTGGTCACCTGGAGTCCTAGTCCAATGCTCAGACCACTGCACTATGCAGGCTGTCATACCCCTGCATATTCCTGCTTAATAAAAAGTTAGGTTGGTACATCACTGAGGACTGGGGTGGGGGAATCCACTGCTGCCCCTGGTGCCAAACCTTCAAATGTCAATTTGGCAGCTATAATTTTAGCTGCAGGGAAAGGTGGGATCCCATTTCTTCAGAGGGCACATCACCAGCCTGTCTCATCTGCCCCATTACAGAGGTGGAACATGAGCGTGCATGCTACAGGGAAAGGTAGTGAGTCTGCCCACCAGCACTGTAGATCAAACTGCATGTTTCTTCTAATATGTATAATGCAGGGTTTCCCTCCCCTCTACTCAAAAATGAAAGACCCCATCTGAGGACGCACACTATGATTCATGTCAGGAATAGAATGGTGAAAGAACTGGATGCCCGTAATTTGCGTATGAAGAAAGTATGCATTGAAAGGAATGGAAGCTCTTTTCTAGTATTGCACTTTTAACCTAGCTACTAACTAATATTCTCTGGGTGGCATGCAGTTGGCATGGGTGACACAACTGGATTGGAACCACAAGGGATTAAAGGGTTAAAGACTCCTCCCTTTCTCTGCATGCATGGATTCTGGAACTTGTAGCCCAAAATCCTACTAAGGCATCCTGGTTGTTGCATTTCAGAAGTAGCTTTTCCAAGTCTCTGATTCATAGTAATTTATGTCTAAATGATGCACACAGTTATGTATTCTATAGAGAAGGTTTCAGAACAAAACAAAACAGACATTGTTTCCATAGAGCCTGTGGCTAATTGTCCATAGAGGACAATTAATAGTTAAGCCCTTGTTTTCCTTGTGTGTCTGAGTCTCTCTTCTCATCTCAAACATGAAAGTATTTGTAGTGGTAAAAGTTTGGAATGGAAAGCATTCCAAAATATAGCTTGTTGCTAAGGAGAACATGCAAAATAAATACTACTACCAATAGTTCTATAATAAACTTTCAGTATCTCCCAAGAAAAGCATTTTAGTAGAAACTTTCAGTATTGCCCAAGAAAAGCATTTTGGTAGAAATGCTGCAGGTTACAGTTATGGTCTATTAGCAATACAAAATAAAATAAAATAAAAATAGATCCGGGGATTAGCTCTGTTTACTTGTACTTCACTTGTTATTTGTTTTTGGAAAGAATGTAGTATTACTAGTAGGAGTAAATACACTGATCTGAATGAAGACTCCTACTAAAAGACAGATGCTTTTTATGTGACAGCTTGACACCTTTATCTCACTCTTCCTCTAAAGAGCTTATGGTGCCATACATCATATTCCACTTCATTTATCCTCACAACAATCCTTTTGGCTGAAAATGACTATTCTTGGGTCACTCAGTGAGCAACCTGGACTAAAATATGATTTAAATTTAAATCTTAGACTAGTTTTTGACATTGAAAACACATAATACAAGGTGGCAAAGGGGTTGTAGCTGGCCATTGAAGAAATCCCAGTTGGCATACTTGAGAAATTAATCTCACATTTATAGATCTGCTGTTGAAAACTAGTTGATATTAACCAAACCACAGGGATGGGCCATGCAGTTCTTCTTAGACTTCATCTCTTATTAGTGCCTCTAGTCAAGTCAGGGGTGAAGAATAATGAGTGCTGCAGTTGAAAAAACATCTAAATGGCCACATCTTTCCAGACCAAATGGGATCCCACGTCTTTCCTGCCAATAATAGAGGAGGTGTAAATATTTTGTTAGCCCTTATGATTTTATATTTAAATGGTTGTCTTGGCCAATGGAAGCTGTACTGTGTATGTTTTAAAGGCTGGGCTGTTTCTCCACTGAATTTTAATATTTTCTGTGTGAATTATCCACATGGTTGAAACTGATTGCCAACTAGTAATGTCTAAAATGAGATTTTTCTGTTCTCTGTAAGAGTCTGCATGTGTCACAAATCAGTGTGGAGATTTAAAATAGAAAGTTAATGGAAAATGGAAAAGAAAAGTGTGTGTGCTAAGAATGCTTCCTTCCAAGCTAGGCTTTTATTGCCCTCAGACTAATTTATGAATCCAATGCCCATATTCTGAGTCCAGGTGACATCTTCCATTTTTTTACTCTCTGTTCAGTGTTTTCCCACTTCTTCTCCCATTTCCACCCCACAGAACAACAACAACACCAACAACAACCCAATCAGTTAAGGAGGGAAAAATACAGTAACTTCACAGTGCCCTTTCATTCATAATGCTGGGACTCCTCCATCTGGAAGCATTCCATGATAAGCAATCTATCATTTATTTTGTCAGCTCTTTTCACAAAATATGATGGACTCTAACCTCTGATAAAAATGATTTTTTCCAGGTGTGGGAATCATGTGGTTCTCTAGATGTTACTGAATCGCAAGTCTCAGCACTTCTAGAGTCTACTACTGCTGGGAACTGCAGTCTGCAACATCTGGAGGCTCCATTATTTCTATGCCTGCTTTACAATGATGGTTCTCAAACTCTGGTTCTGCAGATATTTTGGACCTCAACTCCTGGAAGCCTTAGCCAACTTGACCATTAGTCAGGGATTCTGGGAGCTGAAGTCCAAAAGTCCTGGACAACCAAAGTTGAAAACTGTCAGTTTTACACTAAGGACTTTACTACCTGAGGCTAAAAAGCAGAATGTTAACAAGTTAAAAATGTCTTTGGCCAGTACTTATCAGATGATGTCATTTCCATCCTTGCAGCCACCCTGCCTTCCATTCATTACTGTAATGCTCCTTTTCAGTGATGGGCAAAACCCATCAATTGGTTTCAATGTCACTATTATAGCACAGCTCCACAAGTGCAAAAATGCATCTTCACTTCAATTCTGGCATGACAGATGGGGCCTGATTCTCCTCCTCTCTCCTGCTCCTACTCTCTATACCAAAGCAGGCTAACTCCATGCTTGTTGGTTGTTTTTTTAAAATTATCTTTGCTGTGCTTACATATTTATAGCAAAATGATAAAATAAAAATAATTTTAATTGTTTTTGCCATAATTACACAAGCATAGCAAAATTTAAAATAAATAAACCAAATGACACAGACTTAGCTTGCTTTGGAATAGTGAATGGGAAGGGAAGGAGAATCAGATGCCCTCATAACACTGACTGTTGTAATGCCGGAACTGCAGCAAAGAGACTTATCGCACCTCAGTTGGGTGTGTGTTCCCAAGCAGTGCCGTCATACAAAAGAGGGGTGTGAAAAGAAATGTTTTCAAAGCAATATGTTCCTGTTTCCTTTCATGACATGATTGCCATGAGACAAGAGGCTAATGTGATAATGTCGAAGGAAAGAGCTGGCAACGTCAACATGGGGATGGGAGGGAATGATGGGTCAGAGGCAAGGTAGCCGCTTCTGACCCTGGCCCCAACTCTACTAGCTGACTGGCAGCCTCCAGTAAGGAATATGACTCTCTCAAAGCGAATGTGACTCTCCACAGACAAAAGCTTCCCAGGACCAGCCCTAGTGTGAGATGGTTGCCCCAGGCAGCAAATTTGTAGTGTCATGAAATGGTTATGTACAGTTGGCCCTCCACATTTGCAGCTTTGACTTTTGTGGCTTTGATTATTAGAGGATTTGTTTAATATGTTTTCTCTAGAAATCCCTAGGTCCTCAAGTGCAACTCTGTCAGAAGTTGACCATACAGTTGCAATGGAGGACCTAGAGATTCCTAGGGAAAACACTTCTCTAGGCATCTGTAGGTCTTCCAGTGCAGTCCTGTGGTCAACTTCTGCTTGATGTTGGCCATAGAGGTGTGATGCAGGACCTAGAGAGTCCCAGAGAGGTGTTCTCTTGGGTTGAAATAGAATGGTTTTTAAATTTGTGTTTCTTTTCACTTTCACAGGGGTCCTGTGCCCCTAACCCCAGCGAATGTGGAGGACCCACTGTAGTTTGTTTTCATTGTATTTTTACTGTCAGTAATGGGGAGAGGTTTTTGTGGGCTTTTCAGCCTCAGGTTCCAAAGTAAACTTGGCTGGCTTTGCATCATGTCTGCCCTGACTCAGGTGAGTATATGGGAGGGGAACCATTTGCCATTTTGCTGTCATTTGCTTCTTTGTTTCTGCCTTAATGATGGCTTTGAAAGTTCTCCACCTTAGCCCTAAGGACTCATGAATAAGCCCATGATTCCTTCATTTCTTGACATCTTATAAGTTTTAACCTGTAATACACTCAGTGGTGTTAATAACTGCCTATTTTTTATTTTTTCATCAGCTGGTGACGGGAGTGTGGGAAGGAGGATACAATTTCTTCTGTCAGGATACACACAGTGGAGGTGAAGCTGATATGAAGGTAAATGTTATGAGCTGACTCTGCTGTTTTGCTTTGCCTCTTACATTGGAAGGGAAGGTCAGTACTGAAGGACAGATACTCTGTTATTAATGCAGCTCAAGGAAAGGCATGCTGTAACTTGGATGCCATGATAGCACTTTGAAAGGAAAAAGCAATTAAGACAGTAGAATTGTTCAGGAACAGTCTCTAAATCAAGACACCTGTATATATAAAGGAGAGGGTTTGCACACTGCAAATCTTCAAGCTGTCAAGGAGTCACAAAAACTGTAATTTATTGTATTTTTTGAGTCATACTTAATATTTACAAGTTGATGTGTCTGGAATTCCTGGCAGAAACCTTTCCAAGACTTTGAGCGGGGGACATCTATTTGGGATGTTTGAATGTTCCAGTTCTGGACCACTTGCATCTTATGTACTGTTATGAGTATACCACATTGCACTTAACTAAAATAAGGAGGGGGAAATTGGCAAAGCTAGTGTGGAAAAAGTCAAAATGTTACGCAAGCCTGCCTGTCAGTATCTCTTACAAAACAATTTTGAAGTAATGGGGGGGATGACTTTAAAACATGAAACTATATTTACTTCATCTTCACTCAGACCATAATGCTTGAAAATTACACCACCTATTACCACTTATGAAAAAAAATATGAATCCTAATCACTTAATTCACTTGTTTTCCATTCTTTTGTATCATAGCACTAAACCTTTCCAATGAAACCCTTAACTGCCAGTTG